ACTCGGCCTCATCCTCACTGCCCGAATTAACCCCAGGTTTAGCGAACCGCGGGTTCGGCCGGTTGTCTGGAGAGACCGAAGGTGACGGACTGCGGCGCTTGCTCGCACGCTTGCTCACAACCACGTCACCAGCTGAGCCGATCGCCTCCGAGGCCACCTTAGTAGCCTCCTGGAGTGCAGAGCCTTTGCTGTGAGGCTTAGTGCTTTTGGTTTGCGCCTTTCCGGCAGCAGCCTTGGAGCGTGTCTTCGCACAGCTCTTCGCAGTGCCACGGGGCATGATAAAGGTCGACGTGGAGACCAAGAAGAAGAGCGCTCTACCGCTGCTCGAGGCTGTAACTGTAAAGTGAGCCTCCAACGCGCTCGCGCAGCCAAGCCGATGTATTTCGACTTTGAGAATGAGAGTTTGTGACGTACACTTCCTCATTCTGATTGGTCGGTAAACCGAACCGAAGTAGGGGAGGATGTAACGGGGATACGTAGCCTCAAAAGTACCCCTAGTTACATGACGTATGACACGTCATACTTCGGGATATCTGGTACATAGTATTAGGGTCGAACCATTGACTGATGACATTGCTTTTCTAAAGGTGACTTATAGTTTGTAAATTTAACTCAAGCTTTAACTACCAAGCGAATCGTGTTGAAGTCAGAGTTTCTGCCGGTCCCCCCTACTTACCAAGGTAAAAATCGTCGATGATTCGCTCTCCTTCGTCGAAAAGACTACTGGCATCTTCGTCTTGGTTAAAATGCGTTTCAGCTTCCTCGTTATCTGAAACGCCATCAAGCAGTGCAGTAAACCGGGGAAATCTGATAAATACCCAGGGGTACTATAATAGGGAGGGGTTTATTTAAGGGAGGGGCACTATCGTGAGTCTTCACTCAGGTTGCTCAATTTGTTTGGGAGGGGGTTTATTTTAGACAATTATAGGTTCTACAGGACATGTACTTAAGTACCTAAAAGAAAACAACCACAACATGTTTAGTAATACAGTACAGTACAGTACTGAATTGCCAGGTACAGTAGGTGGTACATGTACCTGATTGAAGTTTACGAAGACAGTCGATTACGCGGTGCCGAAAGGAAAAAGACCTTTGGAGCCTTTTGACATAGACGGGTCATACGTACACATTCAACCAAAAATGGGTGTGCTGCATTGCTTCGTTGTGAAATTTTTCTTTGTTGTAGCTGGAGGCGTAGTGCAAAAAACTGCGAATGATATGGAGCTAAATAATTTAGTTAAAGTACTACATATACGTAGGTCAATGCATCGGTAGATATTAATGCATTCTATCCCTGAAGTGTAGAAATGTATAGCTGTTTTGAGTTTATCAACAAAGGTATCTCCAATAGAGGGGAATAATTATTGCTGCTTTAAACTTATTAACAAAGATATGTATCTAGAATTGTAAACTTTGCAGCTACCGGTATGGTACAGAGGATGCACATCGCTTCGCAATTCGAAGTGATGACAATTACGCAGAATAACAAATAAGTCAAGAAAAGGGTACACGTACCAATCTTAGCACTTTCATAATTTTCACCAATTGCGCTGTTGCGATTACATGGGTACTGCCCCATCTGTGTATTATTTTAGGGAGTACTGTACATGTATTCTGTACATGTACTGTACCACTGCTTACGGAGTGTCAACGTTCGTACACTTTATGTTCCTATTCAAGACTTTCAACCTATCATTTCGTAAGCAAGGTTTTTCGACCAATCGCTACGGATATGTGGACCACATTTTCTATAATTTCACCCAATTATTGGGTGTGATTACGTCGACGGAAGAATACGTTGTCCAGGGTATATTCTGTGACCAATCGCACCTCGAAAATCACAACAGACGAAGTGAACAGCCTTCCTCCTCCCAAAAGTAACGTGTATGGCGGCAGACCACCACCATCGCGGACTAGGCATCGATGGTATGGGCGTGAGCTACCCGGTCGACCAGACCGCATTTTCCTCGACGCCCTACTCCGTGGCACACGTGCAACGCGAGCAGATGCAAATGCAGTTCCAGCAGCAACTGCAGGCGCGACAGCAGCACATGAACCAGCTTCAAATGCAGCAGTCAAACATGATGGAGGACATCGGACCAGCATCTTCAACGCTCATGCAGATACACGGCGGGAACACAAGCGCTGGTATGCAGATGTCAAGCACGTCGATGCACCAGGGAACTCACACGCGTAGTTCGGATGCGATAGCGACAGGAAGCTTTGTGGGTGCGCTACAGGCGCGACAGCAATCCAGCGCGAAGAGAGGAGGTACCATAATCGACGAGCCGGGCATGCCGCAGCTCTACAAGACCAGCAAGATGCGGCGGCCAGAGTTGTGGCAGTTCATTCGGCTAGTGGTGCCAGACCCGCCACACATCGCGGCCGGACGCACGTACACAAACCAAGACGCAAAAGAAGCGTATTGCTTGAAGTGCAAGCGTATTATGCACTACAACACTGGAAGCAGCAACAACGTCAGTCGGCACATGGCCAAATTCCACGCGGCCGATCTAGCTAGTTATGCGCAGAAGATGGCGGATAAAAAGGTGAAGAACAAGAAACAGCAGCATGATTGGACTACGAACGTACAGACGAGCACGAGCGGGAGTGGCTCGACCAGTCCAGGATCGGGTCACAAACGGAGACGGACCGAGGCGACGACGCCCAACTCAACTGGCGCTACTGGTAGCAACATTTCACCAATCGATACGCCTCGGCTAAGTCTGGACGAATTGCGTGCGACGGGAGAGGATTTCAGCAAGGAGGAATTGACCCAGGAAGAAACAGAGCAGCTGAACGCGATGGTAGCGCGGTGGGTAGCCAAACATCATCACCCGTTCACTATCACCGAAGACATCGAGTTGCAAGAATTGCTTCGCTTCGCCGCGACATTGCGCAAACCAATCAAGCTTCCTCCACCAAGCTCAGTACGCGCCTCAGTTCAGTCGCTTAGCGCTCGCTCGCGGATGGATTTGATGCGTCAGATAGCAAACGAGGTGCTCTTCTATTCCATGGCATCTGAAGTTTGGATCACTGCCGAGCGCGACATTTTTGTCTCTTTCAGTATTCACTACCTCACGGAGAACTTCGAGCGCCGTCATTTCACCATCGATGTGCGAGAACACAGCGGCCACCAAGTCTACTCATACGAGACTAAAAAGGAAATGCTGTATACGTTGATTGCTCGCTGGAATCTTGACCCGCGGTATTTAAGCTCGATGCTGTGGCAGTCTCAACCCCGCGTTGACGTCATTGCAAACAACCCGGTGCAGCCACGCACACAACAAGCAGAGTGCGCAGCCCACGGGTTCGAGATCATGCTCGCTCCTCTGCTGCATGGTCCCAGAAAGCTGGAAGCGGATGGCATGCAGGTTTTCTTCTTTGACGAGATGGTCAACAATGCTGTCGCTAGTGTCCCTCCTGAGTATCAGGCTTGTGTACAATTCGTACGCGACAAAGTTACCCTTTTCCGAGATCTCGCCTTCTTCTTGACCAACCACCCGCGTGCAGTGGTACGGCTTGGCAAGCTCATGGCTGGGACGAGTCAACAACGACTTGTGACGGACTCGAAAGCGAGCTGGCTTAGTACTCTTGATATGCTCAAGCGGTTGGTCAAGAAGCGCGATGTGATCCATGACTTTTTCGCCTACGCTGACACCAGTGAAGGCCGGACAGAGTTTCAGACTGCCACGCCATCTTCGTCCCCTCCAGTAGAGAACAGTGGCATGCAGCGTCAAGAGCCTACAGACGGGCAGTGGTGCGCGATCGAGTGTCTCTTGCAACTACTCCAGCCATTCGAGAACGTCGCACTAGCCATCGGAAAAGAAAAGTACGCGGCGTCGTCACTTACGTTCCCACTGTTGAAGTTTCTGAAGCGCGATCTCGAGAAAGTGACCAATTTCCAGCGAGTGTTTGCCAAGTATCCTCGAAGCCAAGGGGGTGGAGAGGAGAGCCAGTATTCCATGGAGTTCCATACTCAAACCCAAATGATCGCAACGCAGTTAGAAACTGTACGGAACTTCTTGTATACGGAGTTCAAGGCGCACTTCTCGCGGGCATGTGGAGAGTTGATGTGGGTCTCCCAATTGGACCCGCGCTTTGTGCGCATGAAGTATCTAAGCGATGAGGAGCGCGAAGTGTGCAAGGCGCGACTCATTGACCAGTGCTTCGTCCTCGCCAACTTCAACCAGACCATGTCCAACCAGCGTCTTAAAGCTTCAGCCGCAGTGTCAGCTGACGTCTTGGTAAGTGCAGGTGTCAATCCTTCCAGCGCGAATTTCCTCGACTTCCAGAGCGGGACGCAGCCGACACGTGAAGACCACGACACCAACAGCTTCCTGCGCGAGTTGCTCTTCGATGACGCACATGACGACCCCGCACTCGTTTATCAACAACAGCAGCAACAGCTTCTGCATCAGCAAGGACAACTCGGTGACTCGCTAGGTCCCGTGTCTATCACAACCGGAGAGGGAGGCCCCACTTCGCCCTCGAACACCAACTCTGAAGCCTTTGTGGAGCAGGAGGCTTCGCTACGCGGTCGAGTAGTGGACGAAGTGAAGGCGTACTTTGACGCTGTTGCTGTCGCGAAGGTTACAGCCATGCGCGACCCACTGAAGTGGTGGAGAGACAACACGACCACTTTCCCTCTGCTGGTGCCTTTAGCCAGACAATGGCTGAGCTCTGTGGGCTCCGTGCGGCCGTCTGACGGGGTGCAGATTAGTGCCGGCTCACACGGCGACCTGACCACCACATCTACAACACAGGGTGTTCAGGTTAATGCCACTACGGGCGCCGCTCTGCCTTACGGTACGCACGCCGTCCACTCAGAACCCGAGCTTGTGCGCGACATCGTGTTCGTGCACGACAATTGCTAGTCCAAATAGATCTCCAACATAATTCATTATCAGCCAATCAATGACTGTTTCGAATTATTTTTACATCCAATCAGGTAACAGTCATTTTGGTGAGCTGCACTTTTTGGTCACTTTGCTTTTGGAGGGGGAGTTGCTACGCTGCCACCAAGGTTTGGAGTCTGTCGCGATGCCGCACCCGCGCTTCCCCAAGATCGACGTCCAAGAGCTTCGCGATGACTTTATCCGCTTCGAGCTGTCGGAGACGGACGCTAGCGTGGCCAACGCCATCCGCCGCGTCATGATCTCCGAGGTACCGACGCTGGCCATTGACTTGGTGAGTATCGAGATCAACACGTCGGTCATGACGGACGAGTTCCTGGCGCACCGACTGGGTATGATCCCGCTCAACTTCGATGGTGGACTCGAGAACTTCCGCCAGCGCTTCGTGTACTCGCAGGACTGTGACTGTGACGAGAACTGCCCCAACTGCTCAGTCGAATTCACGCTGGACGTGACTGCCGACAGTGGCGTGCTGTCCGTCACGAGCGAGGCTCTCAAATCCTCAGACCCATACATTCGCCCTGTTAACTTCTCGTCCGAGGAAGAGCTTAACAACACACAGGACAGCGGCGTCATCATCGCTAAGCTCGGCCCCGGACAGAGACTACGTCTTTCGGCCATCGCCAAGCTTGGCATCGGCAAGGAGCACGCGAAGTGGTCTCCCGTGGCAGTCGCCACGTACATGTACGACCCCATTATTACGCTTAATCAGGCCGTTCTGAGCACCTACTCGCCCGAGCAGAAGGCTGAGCTCTACAAGAGCTGCCCCACAGAAGTGTTCGAGACGGATGAGAACTACGAACAGGTGAGAGAGGAGGATCGAGTGGTGCAGAAGAGAAAAGACGATTGCTGATGTTATAATTGTTTTTGCTGTAGTTTACGGTAGGAGACGCGATGCGATGCATGTACTGCGACGAGTGTGTCAAGTTGGCAGACTCGTTCAAAG